TTTTTTGGAATTTAGATGTCAACCCGTGGAAACTAAATTAAAAACCATTTTGCACTTAGTGCAAACAAAACTGGCAAATGTATTGAGGTTGATTATAACSTCCAAATTGTTATCTTAAAGAAGCTTCAATTTCAATGATTTTCCTTCGGATGATATCCTCCCAATCATCATCTTTTTTAAGCAGTTCATATCTTGTTGCCATGTTTTCCAACATTAGAATATCTGGAGGAGGTATAAACTCAACCTGAGCAGCCTTAACTGCATCTATGAATTTTGCTGGACTTGCAGTTGCAATGCAGACTCTTGTTTCATTCWTCTTTGTGCTTTAAAATAAAAGAATATGACTTGAAARTAGAGCCAGCAAACAACGTATGCACATTGAATTCAACTGAAGGATAATGCCTAAGGATTAGTATATGAAATATCCTCAGTTACCCAAATGAAGAGATTTACCATGTCATCATCGTTGACCACATACCACCGTACACATTGTCAGGAGTATTTTTGTCAATATGTAACATTAATATCCTGTGATTTAACTGGCCATTTTACAAATTAAGTCATACCTGTCACGATATGCTGCTGTAATACCAATTGCTGTGTGTGGGCACAGAACATAGTCATTGGTTTCCCAAAATGATTTCATTGTGGCCAGAACATCATCCATGTTTACCCAATCAGAAGTCAATTTTCTTCCAATCTACAATATATAATAAGGTTTTCTAATACTCTAAGCCTAGTGATAATATTTTACACTTCTCTTTCTCTCCCACTGTAGAAGAGAMATCAAACATTCTAGCAAAAGACCCAACTTTGCACGACACATGCATCATTACTGATCTTGTCAAAAAAAAATCAAATAGTAAACAAACTTTGTACATAGTTCATGTTTGTTTTAGATAACGAGAGTCAACTTTGTACTAAATGCAGGTACCAAAGGTAACTGAGTCAAMTATGTATTATTTCTTACTTTTTCTTTCAAATCAAAAGCAATCTCTGCACTTCCTTTTGTTTCAAAGTCCTTCATCATTGAAGACACAAGATAAGAATTGAAGTCAGAAAACAAATAGAAAATCCTTTCCATGTTGTAAGGACTCTAGAACAAGAAGAAAAATTCACATGACAATTTGTTTTGGTCTTGTCC